GGCCACTCCCAGCAGCTGCTTTCTGTTTTGTTTTGGTTTTTTTCTGGCGGGGGGCGGGGTGGGGGTGGGGGGACAGAGTCTTTGTCACCCAGGCTGGAACACAGTGGCATGATCTCGGCTCACAGCAACCTCCACTTCCTGGGTTCAAGTGATTCTCCTGCCTCAGCCTCTAAGTAGCTGGGACTGCAGGTGTGTGCCACCACACCCGGCTAATTTTTGTATTTTTAGTAGAGATGAGATTTCACCATGTTGGCCTGACTGGTCTCCATCTCCCGACCTCAAGTGATCCACCTGCCTCAGCCTCCCAAAGTGCTGGGATTACAGGTGAGAGCCACCGCACCCGACCCCCAGCAGCTTCTACGCTGCATCTGTAAAATGGGAGAATATCCTTGCCACCTCCCTCCTAGCACACGCCCATGCTCAGCACAGGCCTGGGCACCCAGGAGGTGGAACCATGAGAAATTATTTTATAGGAATTCTGTATCAATAATTCAATGATATTTGGCTGCTTTTATTAAAAACAGCTTTATTAAGATAAAATTCAGGCATTTAAAGTGTACAGCTGAGCTGTTTTAATATATACACGTGTGCAACCATATTCGATTGTTCAAGTACACATACCATCAGGGTAAAGAGCCAGAGTGGGTTCGTTCTCAGCAATGCTGGCAGCTCGGCTGTGCCAGGCCCTTTCCCAACACCACAAAGGTGGGTATTGCGTTGCTCCCATGAATTTCCAGGAATGCTCACAACCCTACTTTATTTTTATTTTTAGAGTTAAGGTCTCACGATGTTGCCTAGGCTGGTCTCGCACCCATGGCTTCAAGTGATCTTTCTGCCTCCTAAAGTGCTGGGATTACTTGCATGAGCCACCTAGCCTGACTTTGGTTCCTTTTTCTTCTCTTCTCCCTTTTGTGTGTGTGTGTGTGTGTGTGTGTGTGATCACAATCCTGGAACAAAATGTCACTTCTGACATGTAGATATGTATTTCATATTTTATTAAAATATGGTATTAAATCCACTATTCAACTTTTAAAGTCTTTAGAAAGCATAACATTTTTTAAAACTGCCAGGCATGGTGGTTCATGCCTGTAATCCCAGCACTTTGGGAGGCCAAGGTGAGTGGATCATTTGAGTCCAGGGGTTCAACACCAGCCTGGGCAACATGGCAAAATCCTGTCTCTGCAAAAAATACAAAAATTAGCCAGGCATGCTGGTGCATGCCTGTAGTCCCAGCTACTTGGGAGGCTGAGGCAGGAAGGTCACTTGAGCCTTGGGGAGGTTGCAGAGAGCAATCACACCACTGCACTCCAGCCTAGGCAACAGAGGGAGACCCTGTCTCAAGAGAAAAACACACACACACACACACACACGCAATATATTTGGAAAACCAAAAGCTATAAGCCCATTAGAAAACATTAATCAAAATGTGAACTTACACAAACATAAATTAGAAACATATCTTAGGCCAGGTGCGGTGGCTCATGCCTGTAATCCCAGCACTTTAGGAGGCCAAGGCGGGAGATCATGTCAGGAGATAGAGACCATCCTGGCTAATATGGTGAAACCCCCTCTTTACTAAAAATACAAAAAATTAGCTGGGCATGGTGGCAGGCTCCTGTAGTCCCAGCTACTTGGGAGGCTGAGGCAGGAGAATTGATTGAACCCGGGAGGCAGAAGTTGCAGTGAGCTGAAATCGTGCCACTGCACTTTAACCTGGGTGACAGAGTGAGACTCCATCTCAAAAAAAAAAATTTTTTTTAAAACATATCTCATAAATTAGCATAAAATAATTATTTAAAAATAACCTAAATAGCACACTAAAATGAAAAAATTTATGGGTATTTACAAGTAATTGATCCCAACTAGTTACAGATTGCTTTGTTCCGTCCCCATTCTCACTCTCCTGCTTCACTTGGCTAGCCTAAAAAAAAACAAACAAAATATTTGTGACACATTAAAAATGAAATACTGTTGGCTGGGCACAGTGGCTCATGCCTATAATCCTAGCACTTTTGGAGGCCAAGGTGGGTGGATCACCTGAGGTCAGGGGTTTGAGACCAGCCTGGCCAACATGCCGAAACCCCACCTCTACTAAAAATGCAAAAAATTAGCCAGGCGTGGTGGTGGGCACCTGTAATCCCAGCTACTGGGGAGGCTGAGGGAGGAGAATCGCTTGAACCAGGGAGGCAGAGGTTGCAGTGAGCCGAGATCCTGCCACTGCACTCCAGCCTGGGCAACAAGAGTAAATCTCCGTCTCAAAAAAAAAAAACAAAAAACTGTTATTTGTTTTGTGTTTTAAAGAGCAAACTTAAAAGCAAAGAGTGATTATGGTATCATTGCTGAGTAATGGAAATATTTCTGGGCAGATTTTTCCAGCAGTTGAAACGCTGTCTCTGGCTTTGTGATGTCAGTTGAGAAAATGGCAAGATGATTAGAAGTTAAACCTCAAAACTTTCCACTGGTGTCTTCGTCTTGAAATATCCTTCCCCTTCTGCATAGCTTTGAAGAGCACGTTTGGGTCATCTTTTAGACTGGCAGCTTTTGCATGAGAGCAGTGAGGGTCTGGGTTTCAGCAGACTCCATTCGTCTTCGTCCTCATGAGTTGGCGGCAGGCTTCCGAGGCATTTACCTGCCTTATTCTCAGCACTCACCTGTTCACATGCCACGAGTTCAGAAAGTCCTGAGGTCATTCTTTCAATAGACACTGCCTTGTGGATTGCTGTGTTCTTTTCTTCTTGGGAAAAAGGTGTAGAAAAATGTGCTTGGGGTGGATATGCTACACAAAAATGTGTAGAAAAATGTGAAAGCACAGGTCTGCCTGGATAGGAATCCCAGCCCGACTGACTTTCTGTGTCATCATGGGCAAATGACTTCACCTCAGGGCCTCGGTTCCTTCATCTGTAAGTGACAATAAGAACAATGAATGGCTCATGCCTGTAATTCCAGCACTTTGGGAAGCAGAGATGGGAAGATCATTTGAGGTTAGGAGTTCGAGATGAGACTGGCCAATATGGTGAAGCCCCATCTCTACTAAAAATACAAAAACTAGCCAGGCATGGTGGCACATGCCTGTAATTCCAGCACTTTGGGAAGCTGAGGCAGGAGGTTGGGGCTGCAGTGAGCCATGATTGCACCACTGTACTCCAGCAAAGAAGGCTGGGCGTGGTGGCTTACACTTGTAATCCCAGCACTTTGGGAGGCCAAGGTGGGCGGATCACAAGGTCAGGAGTTAGAGACTAGCCTGGCCAATATGGTGAAACCTCGTCTCTATGAAAAATACAAAAATTAGCTGGGTGTGGTAGCAGGCACCTGTAGTCCCAGGACTGGAGAGGGTGAGGCAGGAGAATTGCTTGAACCCAGGAGGCAGAGGTTGCAGTGAGCTAAGATGGCACCACTGCACTCTAGCCTGGCCACAGAGTGAGACTCTGTCTCAAAAAAAAAAAAAGAGTATTTACCTCTTAAGGTTCTTACAAGGATTAAATGAGTTAATGTGTAAAGCACTTAGAACAGTCTAGGACTTAATAGGCCCTATTTACATGGTAGGTAGGAATTGTTATAAAAACATTCTAAATGTATATACCATTAAGCAATTAAAAATTTTAATGTAGCTAGGCATGGTGTTGCATGCTTGTAATCCCAGCTACTCAGGAGGCTGAGACAGG